TGAAGTCTTGACTTTGGACAAAACAATAAGTCTTAAGAAAAATGAATAATTATTTAGTAAAAGTTTTGTTGAAGATAATTTAATACTCACTGGTTCACTGCAAGTTGGCTTTGTTGAAGATAATTTAACATCATATGCTATCTCCAATGTCTTCCAGCATCAACTTGATGAACCAACTCCATGAATCTTTTGTTTCATTCTCTACAACACCAAATACAATAGGCAAATATTGGTCATTTAGATATCTTCCTACAACAATGAACAGAATACCACCATACTTGTGCTTTAAGTGACAACCATCTAAGCCAATGAATGGTCTACATGCTTTTGTTAATGCTTTTTTGGTTCCATCAATGCAAATATAGCACCTCTCAAATCTTGGATTCAAACTTGGAGTTGAACAATTGCTGGTGATTTTGAAAGCATTTTACGGGGATGTCTTTCTCAACTTAGCATTGTAAAAACCATAACATGTTAAATTGCTTGCTAGAACCTCCTTCCACAATGTGTCTAGAAATCTACCTCGCCTTGAAAGCTCGACAACCTAGGATTTCTGTGACATACCTAAGCCTAACATCTGCTACCACCTTATTTAACTTCATCTTTGTGTTATTCTTTAACTCATCCACAATGACCTTAGCAACAGTTTCAGTTATATGTTCACCATTAACACCTGCACCAACCCCTTCATCAAACCCATCATCAAACCCATTAATCCTCTCCTCTTCACTGTCATCAAAGTGTACATTCCTCACAGATTCTTTACTAGAATCACCACCGCAGTCACTTAATTTTTCATTCTCTTCATCACATGACTCATGGTCGATCGCTTTCACTAAGTCACAAACTTCAAAGAAAGACCAATAATCGTGATCTTGACTACTAAAATCATATACGAATTTAGGTCAACCAAATATGGTACGAACTGCAAATATGACTTATATACGAATACATCTACGGCATCGCTATCATATACAAAAGAATGCTTCTTTATCTACCACTACCACTACAAAATAAGCAACAAAGCACCATACCTGGAACCACTGAATGCAATAGAGGTTGGACCACACTTCCTTGCAAGTGAAACGAGGGAACACATACCACATGAAAGTTCTTCTTGAGCCCACATGAACGAAGCTTTGTTCTTCGGACAACACAAAGCTTGATGAGCGCAGACGAGGAATTACTTTCTAGGGCTTCGCTTGAGTTGAGAAATGTTATCTTTATTTAAATTTGTCAATATGGTTTGGTATTAAGAGATAAACTGATAACATTATCAATATATCCATGCTGGCAAATTAGAAATAAAAAAAAAATCCACGTGAACAACTTAAAGACGTCACACGTAAGTCCCTGTTAATTTTAGAGACGTAAAAGTTTGTGAAGACTATTATTTTAAAAAAAAGTTATAGAAATTAAAAATAAAAATTATCATATAAAATATGGACTAAAAATATATTTAATCTAATTTATTATAACAAATAAATTTAAATGTAGTTTTTAATATTTGTATTGTCAAAAAGTTGAAAGTTAAATCATGGTCATTTCATGTATAGAATTACCCCCTTGGTATTGGTAAACTACACATCCATATACCAAAAAAGAGAGAGCATGAGAGTTTGGTAGAATGGAAAAAAGGCAAGGAAGATCTAGAACCTCTCCTCAACGATAAGAGAAATCCAAAACCCCGAAACTACACCCAATCATTCTCCCTTTGTTCTTGACGTCCACATCTTTCTTCCATTCATTTCCACCTCACATCATCACATTCACAACCATAACCTCAAAAACTCTCTCTCATTCACTTCACTCTCTCACACTCTCTCTACAATGGCTTCAGCTACAGCCCCCACAACTCTCTCCCTCCTCCCCACCACGAAATCCTCCTCCACCTCATCCGCCACTCCTTCTTCCTCCCGCGTCCACCTCTCCTCATTCCTCGGCGGCCGCCCACTCCGCCGACTCGGCTTCGCAGCTGCCGATCCCTTGCTGGCAGTGCAGGTGGCGTCCAAGGTGAGGTCAGTGAGCGGGAGAGGAGTGAGAGGTGTGGTGTCCATGGCCAAGAAGAGTGTGGGGGATTTGAGTGCGGCGGAGTTGAAAGGAAAGAAGGTTTTTGTTAGGGCGGACTTGAATGTTCCTCTTGATGATAATCAGAATATTACTGATGATACTAGGATCCGTGCCGCTGTGCCAACTATCAAATATCTTATTCAGAATGGTGCCAAAGTCATTCTTTCCAGTCACTTGGTATATCAATTCACATTTTACAGATTCTATTATCACTTTGAATTTTCCTAATTGTTACTACTTTCTTTGTGTTTGTGTTAAATTCTTAATGCTTCATAATTCACTGATAGACGACTCTCTTGATATAAATATTTATGTAATTTTACATTGCTAAATCTGATTACAATTGATTCATTGTGACTTTTGGTGAAATTTCCAGGGACGGCCAAAGGGTGTTACTCCCAAATACAGCTTGGCACCTCTTGTTCCCCGGCTCTCAGAACTCATTGGAATCGAGGTATGTTTATATAGGTTAATGATTATTGAGGAATGGATTGACGGACAGGGAGGGTTAATAACTTATGACTATTGAATGTTTGATGGATAATTACAATACTGTTGCCCTTTTCTTGCATTTGGATAATCGACAGGTTGTTAAGGCCGATGACAGTATTGGTCCAGAAGTAGAAAAGTTGGTGGCTTCCCTTCCGGAGGGAGGAGTTCTTCTTCTAGAAAATGTGAGGTTTTACAAGGAGGAAGAAAAGAACGATCCCGAGCATGCCAAAAAGCTTGCTGCACTAGCAGATCTTTATGTGAATGATGCTTTTGGTACTGCTCATAGGGCACATGCATCAACAGAGGGAGTCACTAAATACTTGAAGCCATCTGTTGCTGGTTTTCTTTTGCAAAAGGTGGGTTTATCTCTCCTTTTCTACTAAATAATTATCATTAGCTTATATATCTCTGATCAATAATCAATTTTATAATAAATATATTTCTCATACATATTTTAATGTTTTAGGAACTTGACTACCTTGTTGGGGCAGTATCGACCCCAAAAAGGCCATTTGCTGCAATTGTGGGTGGTTCCAAGGTCTCATCTAAAATTGGAGTGATTGAGTCACTTCTAGAAAAAGTTGACAAACTTATTCTCGGTGGAGGGATGATCTTCACATTTTACAAGGCACAAGGTCTTTCGGTTGGTTCATCCCTTGTAGAGGAAGATAAGTTAGAGCTTGCTACAACACTACTTGCGAAAGCCAAGGCAAAGGGGGTGTCACTCTTGTTACCGAGTGATGTCGTGATAGCAGACAAATTCGCTCCTGATGCAAACAGCCAGGTTTGTTTCCTAAGCTACTTTAGATAAGCAACAAACATTATGACTATGCATTTTCTTACTCGTTCGGAACCGTTAGCTCCAAGAACCTAAATTCTGTGTTGACCCTTTCAGATTGTGCCAGCATCTGCCATTCCTGATGGTTGGATGGGATTGGATATTGGTCCAGATTCTATTAAAACATTCAATGAAGCATTGGATACCACCCAAACCATCATATGGAATGGACCAATGGGAGTGTTCGAGTTTGACAAGTTTGCTACTGGGACAGAGGTATGCAAGAACCTTCACATATAGTGTTTGAGTTTAAAAAATGTTTGCAGTCATAATATCTCCCCTTTATGGCGATGCATGCCCTCGTAACTATGCAGTAGGAGTTATGCATCACCAACACATACAACTGAAGACGTGTCTGGTGTCTGACATATAGTTACGTTTAAAAATGTTTGCAGTCATAATTTACATTTTGTATCCTTCTTTCAGGCTATTGCAAAGAAGTTGGCTGAGCTAAGTGGAAAAGGGGTGACAACTATTATTGGAGGAGGAGACTCTGTTGCAGCTGTGGAGAAAGTAGGAGTTGCTGATGTCATGAGCCACATATCCACCGGTGGTGGTGCAAGTTTGGAGCTATTGGAAGGCAAAGAGCTTCCAGGTGTCCTCGCTCTCGACGAAGCCACACCAGTTGCCGTGTAAGACAGTTTTCAGTTTGTAATTTTTTTCCCACCCTCGGTGTCAAGTGTTCTTGCAACCTTGTATAAGAGCTTATGTTGTAGGACCCTTCCGGGTTTGTTAGTGTAAATTTTATCATGCCTGAGTTATTCTCTTCGCACATAAATTGCTTGTAACTGTAAACCTAGGCCGAGAGCCATAAATTCAAATAAATCATCCATTACTTGCTGCCATAAGTTTTTAACATTCATATTTCATGTTATCTACTTAGGTCTCACTCTTGTTATTTGTTCATGAATCAAGTCATACATTTACAATGGCAACTCATGTTTTGAGCCTGTGAATAGGCCAGGTTGTAATGTTACATTTTATGTGGGAAAAAGAGCATTAGAGGTTGTTTAACTTAATTTAAAGTTTCAAATATGCCTTTTATCTTTGTTTTTCTGTGTCAAATGAAAGCATGTGAATCAGTCTAGAACTCTCTAGTTTCTATCACTGGTTGTTGGTTGAATATTAGCCTTATGATGACAATTGACAAATCACATTACGTGGGGAGAGGGCATTGAATGATTGGAAAATGAATGGATCTCACGGGGCTTTAGAAAACCTGAGCTGCATAATGTTTGGTCGGCAAACTATACTTTACAGCCCTAAATCATGTTGTATCTCGTTTTCTCCCAATGATCCTTAGCCACAAAATTGAAAGCATCTTTTCTTTTTGCCATGACTCACTTTCATCCCAGATATGTGGTGAGAGGTTAACGAGCAATCTAAGATATAAATATTTAAGCGGGGTGTTCAGTACACCTCTATGTCGTCTTCACTAACCATAAGGAAAATAAAAATTGTTCTTTTGCACTGTTTGGAGATTGAAATTCGGTTGCACCAATTATACAACAAATTAGTAAAAGATCCGATCATTCGCACGGGTTGTGCAAAGTTGATATAAACATTAAATACATATTATATAATTATAGTTAAGAACCGTATATAAAAATATATATTATTTATGTGTGTTCGCATGAGTCGTGCAATATCGTTATAAATAATAAATAAATATAATATAATAATAATTAAGAAATGTATATAAAAGATATATAAATATTTTAATAGAAAAATTAAAATTAAAATTAAGTAGTCATTTACCCGTGTGTTTGCAGGTCATATAATATCGTTATAAGTAATAAATAAATAAATATAATATAGTGATGATTAAAATATATATATAAAATATTTTTTATTCATATATAATTATATTTAAAAATTAAATAAATATTTTCTGTCAATTAATCTACTTTTTCAATTAATTTATATTACCAAAAAATGATTTAACTTACCATCAGATTTGTAAAAATTTATTTTTAATTGATTTATAATAAATAATTATTATTATATTTTTAATAATTTTCCATTAAAAAATATAATATCTTTATTGATTTGATTTTATTGTTGTGAAATAAAAAAAATTAGTAAGGAGATTAAAAAATAAAGACGTTCAAGGAAAGAAATTGATAGGTAATACAAAAGTTTTATGAACTATTTCCAATGCATGATAGCCGTTTTATTAAAAAAAAACGGTTTAATAGATTTATTTATATAGCTACATTACTGAACCATCGATTTAATACAAAATTCAATAAGTAAAAAATTTGTTTAATAGATTTAATACAATATAAATCATCATTATTTAAAAAAAGTCAAACAAATTTAATTGATTTATTTTTATTTAATAAAGTTTCAATAATATTATGTATATTAATACTTATGATTTTAAATTTACACACTAAATTATTTTATTTATTAATCTTCCAAACAAATATCAAAATTAAAAATAAAAAGTATTTATATTGTATTAAATAAATAATTCATTTTAATAAAACGGTTATGATGAATATTATATGAATAACTAAAACGGCTATAATTAAAAATGAAAATTATTAGTTTATGTTTTGTCTATGATTGACTGTTTAATGACGATACAGTTAAGGCTGATTTGATAGTATGTGAGGCTCCTGGACAGTGTTGTATCAGAGCCTCAACAGAAAGAAAGAGTGTATATGGCATGAATATAATAAAAAGAGCAAGTAAGGAAGAAAAATACCTAACCATGGCGCTAGCACAACCAAACACTCATCCTATTACCACCACCTCTTCCATATCACTTCCTAAACTCGGTAAAAAGACTGATATCCATAAAATAGAAAATCTTGTTGAGTATTCTTATATTCCAGAAGATGCTCAAATTGCCGAAATAGTATCTCCCCTTTTAAGCCTTTATAATATCTTCAAAAAATAAAGAATAATTACCAGATCCATCAAAAATTTAATCTCTACCAATCGCCCTCATATGAAAGAGTATGTCTAGTCATCCCGACTAGACTAATGTAGTTTGAGAGCTACAAACCAAGAGCAGTACGTAGATTTAGAGATTCCTCATAGTCTCATAAATCACTGAAAATCTGAAGGATACACAACTTTACATTTTGGAGCAGTTAGACTCATTCTCTCTCTCCATGGAAGAAAAAATTAGCATGTCTTCTGCAAAATAGCTCTCTTAAATTCGAGTTATCTCCATTATGAAAATATTGTCATAGGGACTGTTCTAACCTCACTTCATGCAGGAAGCATTGTTCTTACTGTTTTTTCCAAATTATAATGTAAGCCTCAACGATAACACCCTATCTACAAGATTAAAAGTCCAAGTTCAAATCGCTGGATCTGACCAAGTTCCAGAGGCCATGTCCGCTACTCTCCATCACCAAATAATCTATCGCCTACAAAATCATTCGATAGATTTACCCCTCACAGGATGTTCTTCTGATTCTCTGTTAGTAGTTACGAATAGAGAAGAAGATATACCCTTTATCGTTCAGATTCCAAGAAAGATCACAAGAGAAGAATTAACCCATTTAATTTCTCTTGAGTGGATAACAAACTATGAAAAATCCATCAAGATAGAAGACAAATATAATCTCAAGAGGCCACCTTCAGAAGATCCGTTGACAAAACGGTCAAAATAATTTTCAAAAAACCAGATGAAGGACCGAGTTCAATTTCTCCTATTTTCCAGACCATGATGATCTAACCGGTTCTCAAAGAAGATTGGTGTCCAATTCATGTTGTAACTAGTAAAGGAGAACCTATCTATACTGACAAGATAAATGGTCATTTTATTTGGGATGTAGATCCTAATAAATGCGACCCAGGATATGAATGTTGAATGCACGATAATGATTATGAAAAAGATATTATCCTTCCGAAAAGAAAAAATAACGGGGCGTGAAAACCATTTCTTCCTCCACAAAGAAGATATGATCCCGATAACGGTCCATGGGTAGGTATCCATGATAAAAAGAAACCTCTTCCTATTTATGAGGAAGCTCTCAAGATCCTCAGAAAAGAAAAATGGTTGGCACCAAATGATCATACTCTAGTTACGTGGTCACCGTCGGACTACTGTAAACTTTTGGACCCTCCAAAAAATGTTGAGCTAATCTCTTGCTTTATGTACTCAACTACCGCACCAGATTATAGCCAACAATTTCTTGCTCTAGAAAGAAAGATGGATCCAATCACTGGAAGAACATCCAAATCCTTCATTCATCCTAATGAAGTACAACCCGATGGAAAACTCAAACCTTTAACTCAAGCTGAAGAAGTTCTAAATTGGCAATCGGAAAACATGATTTCTCAAAATGATATCCACCAAATCCTCGACAAAAAGGTGGATAAAATTGCTGTGAAAATAGACGAGACAAATGATTATCTCAAGTTTCTGTCATAGAAAATGCAGAAGCATTACAGAAGCTTAAATACTCAAGTGTCTCAGCTGGATCGTAATTTGCGGCAGATGTTAGAAGAAAGAACTTTTGGAAAAACTTTTGACCAAAAGGAAAGAGAAATCAGAAACCTACAAGGCCAAGTAAAAGAAATAGATGATTTCTTAAGAGCTTCACATGAAAGAAAGCCCAAGCCTGTTGAAAACCCTTTCTTTGACCCTCATACATTCCCTACTGTTGTACCCCAAAATTTTCCCTCCCATATTCTTCAAAGTTTGTCAAGAATCATCTTCAAATGGTTCAAGATTTCTCAAAGGGTTGCACAGTCCAAATGCCTCCTAAGCCAGTCAAGATTAGGGTTTTTGTTCCTTCAAAGAATTTGAGGTTTTCAATGGCTCAATCAAGTCTCATAGGCCTATATATATTTTCAATCATCTACATGTCAAGTCTCAAGACTCACAATGTCAAATTGCACAGTCAAAAGCTCCTTTTGCTTCACAATCAACTGTAGGGGTAAAATGGTCATTTTACAGTCAAAAGTCAGAATTTTTGGTCAACATCTTATTTTGAGCTCACAATCATCATTTGATCAAGTCTTGATCATGATTCCTCAAGAATGGCTCAAAAATCATCAAGATGCAAAAAGTTGTTATTTTTGGACAGTAGAAAAGTCAACTGTATTTTGACCAAGGCATAACTTTTTCATGGTTCATCAGAAAAATTCCATCCAATGCTCATTTTGAAGGGGATGTGATTTCCTACAATCCATCTTCACACTCCAAGTCCAAGAAATGCTCTCACAAAAAGTTATCAATTTCTACATTATAGGTCAATTTCAAAAGTCAACAAAAATGTACTTTAAGTCAAAGACCATAACTTGATATTGGTAAACCCAAATGACATGGGACCAAAGGAATTGGTTAGAGGACTTCAAGACCTTTCCAAAATGTCCAAGAACATGTTCATATGATCAAAATTGAGCAAGATATGCATTGGAGAAGTTGGGAAATTTTTGTGAATTTGCAAAAGTCAACTTTGCTCAAAATACCTTATTTTTGCTAATGGGCCTCAAATTTCTTCTTGAAACTTTATCCAAGGCCTATGCACGACCCATTGAGCTTAAATTGAATTATTTTCTTATTTTTTATTAATTAATTGGATTTTTAATTGATTTTAATTCATTTAATTAATTTAAAATGTAGGAAATTCAAAGATATGTTTTTTTCAATCTTTTGGGAAGCAAAC